GGCCAGGGGGAAATCGCTTGGTTTTCAATGCAGCTCGGTTTCCATACGCTGCATTTTGGAAACTACAGTGCCACAAAACGCAGTGAGCCACCACTTGACATCTGCCAGACACAAGGGGTGCAGGAAAAAGCATCTTTTACTAGATGAATACAGCTGAGGAACCATGCTTTCAGGCACACAATCCCTTTCCCTAATGTCCTTGAACTCAATGAAAGGTATTACAGCTTCCCCCAGCTCTTCTCACGGTTGGATCCTCAGACTACCACAGCCACATCAGCCTTTTTCAACCTCTTGCGAGTCCTCCCCCTGCAAGCTGAAGAGCAGCTTTTATGGAAAAAATTCAGCTTTGCTGCAAACCAGGTAAGCCGATTTGTAAATGCAGCTTATCATGACAAAGAACAGCTGCTGCTTTTTTCTGTCAAAGGTGAATCAGCAAATTCTACATTTAAAAAAAAAATAATTCAGGATTTGGTATAAAAAAAAACCCCAGCTAAAATCATTACAAATAAAGGAACTTTAATTGGCAGGTAATACAGAACAGTCCAGTCAGTGGCAGACCACCACAGTATTTACAGAATGCAGCAGCAGTGCCTGGTGGCAACAAATGAGATTGTTATCCTACAGCTGGAAAGTCGCTGAAGTCTGTGACATTCCACTATAAATATAGGTGTTATTAAAAATTACAAACTGCCCTGTAATGACTTTGATAACCTCCTGTGCAGCAGCTCCTGTAAAGGGGAACAAAAAAAAAAAAAAAAAAAACAAACAAACCAGAAGGTAGTTAGCAGGTCATATTTAAAAACCCGTAAGAGAATGTTATTTATCTAGAACTCACTACACTGGAATTATTTTGGAAGTGCCTGACAGAAATCCTAGGAGGAAAAAAATGCCTTTCGGCACCTCTCAGTGGAAGAGAGGGTCAGAAAGCTGTTACTTCAAAAGTTAGCTTTAAATACTTTGCTGTATATACTTTCTCTCTCCATGTACATACACACACACAATAAAAATGTGTGAGCAGACAGACCCATGCAAGTTGTGACCTCTATAAATGAAACTGAGAAGTTAAATTAAATGTCATGTGCAGATAAACTGTACAATAAATTGAAGGGTCACTTCACTGTGATCCCTTTGTGTTTTCCTGTAGTATGAAATATTCTATAGTATCTTCAGAAGTTATCTTTACATATTTTTCTAAAGCACTGCACATACCAGGTTTCACTCAATCAGAAAAAACTACATCCACAGAGTATTTAATACATAATTCAGCACTGCATGAAGCCAAATAAAGAGGTAAGTTAACTGATAATATCAATTTTGAGCATCCATTAAAGCATATTTAGTTTTGATAATACCCACGTATTAAATGAAGGTAAGCAGTCAAGGCTATTTATATTTAAGAGACACTTAACAGAAGTGTATTGTGTTAAAGGAAAATGTGTACTGTGTTAATATTAATACAATTACTCCTTTTTTTTTCTTCATCTCAAAGCCTCTTTCAAGCATTTTATTTTCAAACACATTTTTAAGCTACTAGAATGGATCTACTGAGATTATTTTTTCCAGTTTATTTGGTTTCTTTTACTGACTCTAAACCCTTCCTGTGTCTAATTTTTCTACATACCATAGGAGGTGACATCTGGAGAATGAAGGGGAAGGATTTTGTTCTAATACTACCTTTGACTGCAGTCTGTGATTACAGTCTTTGCTCTGACAATATAAAGTAATTAGTACAGTGGAGATTCTGACTCAAGTTTGCACAACAGCAGGTAGGTTTGCATGGACCCTAGCGATACAGTGACATTCTTACCTCCCATGAAGGCAGCAATAGCATGTGGCTCAGCAGCTCCGTAGCGACAACTGGGTAGCAAAGTAACAGTTAGTATTTTCAGGTCAGTTTTACTGACAAAGTGACACTTAAGATCTAATACTTACAACTCATGAACATAGTCATCTTTCACCACTACAGACAACCCATGTTCTTGTAAGAAACCAGTAAGGCATGATTTTAGTTTTCCAATATCATCTTCTACCTGATAGTTGCAGACACCTGGAAAATAAGTTAACTGTGACACCATTTTCAAAGTTAATGGGTTTAAACGGCAGCATAAGTATTTTACTTTTCTGAAAAGTTTCTAAGCCAATATATTAAATTATTAATACTAGACTAATAATAATTTAATATTCTGTTGACATTACTCATTATGACAAATTACAGCATAGCTGAACTGATTCATAATCTGTGCAACCCATTTCAGTGGTATCAATTCAGATAAATTCCCTAAGTTCCCAAAGAGAAAAAATTCTTCCTTGAATTTTCACATTCTTAAAGTTAGATTAATACGGAAACAAAACCACAACTAACAATGTATTTGTAGTTTATAACCAGTATTATAGTAACTATTGGATCTTTTTATTTCTTTTGATGACATTAAGTAACTCCAGTATTAACATACCTGGATATCTACCGTGCTGCTTATAAAATCTATCTACAGCTCGTAGCATCAAGTACAGCACTAGTTCACTGTCTGGGTTATCCATATGGGAAACTGAAAACAGCAAGAGAACTGGTTAGCTAGTACAGATGAAATGGAAAAAGAAAGGCTTTGAATTACGTGAAATCAAGTATTTCCCATGTGCTTAAACTGTAAAATCTGCCGTAGAAAGGAATCTTAATGAAAACAGCCTGCAACTGAGAATCTCAATGAGTCAACTGTCAGATACATGATTTTGACTCCAGAATGACAAACCGTACTGTAGGTATTTTATATAAACTGTTCAGTGAAGATATTCACGTTTCAGCTCTGACAGCTGCCACAACATTAAAGGGGATATTCCTTAGTTATAATTCTGGGATTTGAAACGTATGCTTCATGTATTTAACTGTAATGACTGTAATTATGAAACAGGTCTTAAATCCCTTTACAGCTCAGTAGTCTTTCTAAATACTAACTACTGCTTAAATCACACTGCACATAACCAACTAATTCAAGAAGCTTTCACTTAAATTACAAATACTACGAAACTTACATATACACAAAATGTATACACGTCATATATACATTTTGTTCAAAACATTCAGAGGACTTGTATATGCTTAATTTAAACAAACTTTGATTAAAACAAAAAAGCTGGAAATACTTTTTAATTTATGAAGGTTCAAAAAATAAAATACAGTATTAAGTAACTAGCTTGCTAGTTCCCATACTGAAAAGGTAAGCTGAGACAATTATTCTCATTTCTTTGGTCAGGTGAAGCACCTTTCCAGCTCTGTCAGAAATAACTGAGGTACAGAAAAGAGAACTTTGAAGAAAACACTGGTTTATTTATGTGCTATCAAAAATAAAATCTGCAAGGGAAAAATCCCGAAACACGCATCAATCTGTAAGGTCATTTTTGAATTTTCACAATCAAATTGAATTCAACATTCTAGACTTAAAACAACCCCATACTCCTAGGTGATGCCAAATTATAAAACCACATAATGAAATAGAACACGTAACATACGATTTGTTTTGGTCACAAAACCATTTCAAATTGAAAATGCAATTAAAGTATGTGCCGAAAATGAGTACTTACTGATTTCATCCTTGTTAAAAGTGTTTAAACCATATTCTTCAGCCAGAGATCTACATCGTACTACTCGGAGAAATGCCGAGTTGCTGCCTAAGCAGAGGGTGCAGAAAGGAGAGCATTACCTACTTGAATGCATCACCAATTACTAAATCTTTGTAAGTCTGATTCTCTGATATGTTAAACATGAAAGATTAAGACTTACAAAAATTTCATTTAACACTTTTCCGTTTCTTCTAGTAGCTTGCAGTAATAAAAACTGCAATTAAACTGTTAAACTAAAATTTAGGTCTATGATCACAAGTATTTTAGTGAAATACTTTGTGCTTATTTACTTCTAGAATCTAAACATCTCTGTAATGTAACACCTCACAACATGTGTAACTCTTCTACAGCAATTCATCAATCACAGCCATCAATTTGTCTTCCTCTTCCATGCTGCAAATGAACATGGATTCTTTTAATCTTCCACTACATCTACCACTGTCTCGCATATGCTCAATTAATATTCTACCAGTACAGCTACAAGCAGGAAACGGTTCTTCTCCAGTATCATTGCTATGAAACAATCTGATGCGCAGCTACTACTAGGACTCAAAATGAGGAACAGTGAGGTTCTCAAAACAACCATCAAATGACCAAGTAACGCAGGGGCAGTACGCTCTTGGCTACATGCTTACAGAATTTTCCAGATGCAGGGAGACTTAGCTAGGCTGCTGTGTGGACACGGACACATATGGAGAACAGACATAACCTGAAATGCCACCAACAGCACTACTGACTGCATCGCTGTTTACCTTTTCAGACTACCAGAAGTTTACAGAGCCTGCACTTTGAAGTCAGTATTGCAAAATGGGCAAGAGTGATTAAGTACTGATCACAGAAAGCAGAGAGCATCTGCTACCTGTTGTTTGGACTTCAAAAAATATCCGATCTTTTAAAAGCTAACCTTTATAGACTCATTATTGAGAGATGCTGAACATCTGTTACTTCCACTGAAGATGAGGGATGTGACTGCTCAGCACTTATTTGAAAAATTCAGATACTGAGTTACTGATTAGTAACTACATTATCATTCAAAAATTTGATTATTCAACATTTACATAAACACAGCAACAGAATCCAAGCATACTCACAAAGCAATTTTAATTCTCTTTCTGAAATAGATTCAGGTGCCTAAAAGAGAGAATATATTCATTCCAGTACATGCAATAATCAGAGAATTCGTATTTTCAGAGATACTCATACATTCATTGTGAAATAACTAGTCATTCTCGTAAAAAAAAAAAAAAATCAAAAACTTAAGTTGTTAGTAATATATCCCTGTATGTTTTTTATTTTTGTATGACCAAACCAGAAGCGATAAATAAAACAG